CAGCGAGTCTCACTGTCTCGCTCGATCTCGCGCAGCGGCAAAGTGGTGGGACGGTTTTCCGTGTTGCCGGGGAGCCAAATGTGCATCACTGCTGTGCATCCGTGGGAGCCATTCCACACAACTTGCAGAGTCGCATAAATGTATGCATAAAAAAATCACCCAATCGTAGTTTACGTTTGTCTTTATGACTGAAATGTGATTGGATAGTTTTCTTTATGTATATGGTTATGCGGCTCTGTGAGTGTGTGGAAAGACCCTGGGAATGACTCACGTATTTCCACCATGTCTGTTATCTCCAATCGCTGACCAGACATTTTGCGTGTTTAAAAAAAAATCCGAGATATCGAGAGTTCGGGGAATTCCATTACTCACTTATGCGTGCTTATTATGCGCTATGAAAGATTCGAGAATCGAGAACATTCGAGGGTCAACTGTCGTTTGACGAGATACCGGACAGCACGGACTTAGTGACAACATACTTAGAACATCGTAGCACATCGTAGCTGTTTCCCAGCGGAACTAGCAAGTGATTGTGTCGCGCAACATATTTTAGGAGCTTCATCTGGTATTGAATTAAGACAAAATGACGAAGAAAGGTACATTAATTGTTACATGCGGTCGTTTCGGAGCAAGTGTCTCCATTGTTTCTACAAATGCATCAATAATTGATTACTTCCATGATAATAATTCAATTCATTATCCGAATTATTTGTTTGTATTTCAAAAAACAAATTACAATATATAGAAATAAATAAATATGTATAATCAATCTATGTATTATAATTGTCACAATATGGAGTCTAATCGTGTTTTCTATGCTGATTCGACTTAACCTCTAGTCGATGATACGTTCTTTTTGGCTGCAAAAAAAGAGCTAAACTATGCAAGAAATATAGGTAAAAAAAATACATCATTGACTCGGGGTCGGGATGAGTCAGCAAATCGAAAATGTTACGAAATTGAATTTCTGTATTCCAAAGCCATAACAACAACCTCAGAGTTGTTACAATACAGACAAACTATACCAAAAGAGTAACATATTCGCACTGGCTATGTTCCACTTGGCATTCACAATGGTCTTACATCATTTTATCCTTGTTATCTATTAAATATTATACAAAAATAAATGTTACTTATGAACATTGCAACTTGCAAGTATCAAGTAAAACACAGTTACTGTTGATGTGCACACTTGCGTTTGTAGAATGAAGTCAAGATGGCATTAGGTTTTGTATAATTTATTTGTATTTTTCTTCTCTAACACTCCTATTTTAATAAACCTATTTTATTGTACAGAAGGTATAGCATAATGTAGCTACAAGGACTTGTATACGTATTTATTAAAAGCAATTATATAATAAAATTAGCTAAAAGCTTCAAGTATGTAAATGTTATGTGTAGGTATATTATGATCTTCTAAAACTTGATTTGTACCTATTTAAGAGATATATATTTAATAAAGAATAATACAAATTGTAGGAAAGAAGAAGAAGCAGACAACAGCTGCGTCAACCTCAAAAGAGACTTTGCAAGAACAGACTTCGCAACAACAATCCTTGCAGCAACAAGAGGAAGGGAAACAACCTTCAGAAGCATTACCTAGTTCGACGCAACAAAAGACAACCATAGGTCTAAAATGTCAACAAATTAAGATGGCATTAGGTTTTCTGTACCTGAACTTTTTAAATAATTTTTCTTTACTTTTTTTCCTCTAATATTCCTATTTTAATAAACCTATTTCATAAGTGCAGAAAGTATAACATAATGTAGCTACAAGGACTTGCGTATTTATTTATTTAAAAGTAATTAATTAAATCAGGGTTGCGATTCTGTAACGCAGATAGGTGAAGAGTAAAAATTTTTTGTATATGTATGTACATATACACGTGCATACAAAATAATTTCACTTTTCACGTTTCTGCCCCAGACAAAAAATTACATGATTGTTATCCTGAGCTGTCCAGTCTCTGTATTCTGTAACTCGTTATGCAATTGTTATGTGCTCATAATGACATTTGCGTAGATATTTTATACAGTAAAAAGCTGTGCAACTGTTGTTATAACGAGTTACTGAATGCAGAGGCAGAATCTGATACTTTTGACTTGAAATTAATATGTATCGATATTCATGCCTATTACCGTTCCTTATTTCATTGCTGTTTTATCGTAATACGCGACTCTTGTTCTTCTCAGAGACGACACCAGCCTGAAATTGTTAAGAGTTTTTGAGCTGTGTCATTCATTATGTTTAAAAGTATTCCGTTACTAATATCATAAGATATGAAATATATATAAAATTATATATTTTTATATATTAGTTAAATATATTATGAATAATATTATCTTATATTATTAGTAGCTGAATATTTTTAAACGTAATAAATGACATAGGTCAAAAACTGTTAACAATTTTAGACTAATGTTACTCATTGAGACTGAATGTTGCACACTACGTTAAAACAGCAATGAAGTAGGAGTAGAAACGTGATAGGAATGAATATCGACATATTTTAATTTCAAATCATAAGCAAAGAGGATTAGATAGTATGGAAAGTTCTCTTATGAGATTGTAATATATTTTCCATGTAGTGTTATTAGTGTTATCTTGTGAGTCTGATGCTGTTTTTACCAATATTAGTAACGATGAAAAAATTAACGGAGCCAAACGAGATTCAAACATGGTATTCTTCATTTTCATACCTATTTATTTTCATATATATGACTGTCACGATATACGCGAATCTTCCGGCTTCCGCTCTGTCTAATTCTCTTTGGTCAAAAGTACCCTGTTTGGGCACTTATCATGAAACAAGTTGGAATGGATTCCGATCGGAATTATTCAATTATTTCCTAGATTTCTATTGTGTTTTCTACGGAAAACGGAATAATTCCGATCGGAATTCATTCCGACATGTTATATTATAGGTATCCAGGACAGCTCTGAAATTAGCTGAAAGCTTCAAGTAAATGGGGTGTATATATTACAATTTCTTAAAACTCGATTTGTTATTTACCTATTTTTTAAAATCCGATTGCACCAACATTACTTTGACTTCAAACAAGGTTTAAAACTCTTATTTTCTCTCTTTAAAGTTGAAAGAGAGGGAGAGATAGAGAGAGTTTTAAACTTCGCTTAAAGTTGAAATTGGTGCAATCGGGCCTAAGCGACATATATTTAATAAAGATTAATACAAATTATAGGAAAGGAGCAGGAAGTAGCTGCGTCAACTTCGAAACAGACATCTGAGAGTTCATCAAAACAACAAAAGGTACTCAAATATCCAAAGCAGTAACAAGTAATTCCATATTCACAGCAACAGAAAATAACTAAGAGTTTGCAAAAGCAGGTACCACAAGGTCAACAACAACAAGAATCGTTGAGCTCACGTCAAGTATCACAGGACCGGCCACAACAACAACAACAACAACAACAACAACAAAGGGCATGTGGCCTCCCACGACAACAAACACCACAAAGCCAGACACAACAACAACCACAAGGAGTACGAAGCCAATCACAACAACAACCACAAGGAGCACGGAGCCAGCCACAACAACAACAACAACCGCAAGTAGCAGGGAGGCAGCCACAACAACAACCACAAGGAGCATGGAGCCAATCACAACAACTACAAGGAGCACAGAGCCAGCCACAACAACAACCACAAGGAGCATGGAGCCAATCACAACAACTACAAGGAGCACAGAGCCAGCCACAACAACCACAAGTAGCATGGAGGCAGCCACAACAACAACCACAAAGAGCACAGAGCCAGCCACAACAACAACAACCACAAGGAGCATGGGGTCAGGCACAACAACAACCACAAGGAGCACGAAGCCAGCCACAACAACAACAACCACAAGTAGCATGGAGGCAGCCACAACAACCACAAGGAGCACAGAGCCAGCCACAACAACCACAAGTAGCATGGAAGCAGCCACAACAACAGCCACAAGGAGTACAGAGCCAGCCACAACAACAACAACCACAAAGAGCATGGGGTCAGGTACAACAGCAACCACAAGGAGCATGGGGCCAGCCACAACAACCACAAGTAGCATGGAAGCAGCCACAACAACAGCCACAAGGAGTACAGAGCCAGCCACAACAACAACAACCACAAAGAGCATGGGGTCAGGTACAACAGCAACCACAAGGAGCATGGGGTCAGGCACAACAACAACCACACGGAGCATGGGGTCAGGCACAACAACAACCACAAGGAACACGGAGCCAGCCACAACAACAACCACAAGGAGCATGGGGCGACGCACACCTATCACAAGGAGCATGGATCCGCCCACTACAACAAGTACCACAGAGTCAACCACAACAACAACCACAAGGAGCCTCGGGCCGCCCACGACAACAAGTACCACAGAGCCTGCCTCAACAACAGCAACAACCAGCATGGGGCCCACAATCAACAGCTTGGAAACAGCAGCAGCAACACAGAATACCAACTTTACCTCAACAGCACCAAAAAGCTTCAAGTAAATATTCTCTAATATTAATATAATCAGAAACAGCAACAATTACTAAATTTAGCATATTTTTAAATGTTTTATATAAAAAAATTTATGTAAAAAAGTTCATAGATATATAATTTTTTAAAAAGTAGAATTACTCTTTTATTCATGTATTAATGTAATTGTTGTATTCATAACTTATTCAAAATTAATAATTAATTTTTTTATCTCGTGTATAAAGATACTTTGACAAAGTTATTGAAAAGCAAATACTTTATATAAACATATAAGATAGTTTATATTCATATTAGAGTAATATACCAGAATTAAATACAAAATATCTAATTAGTTACGTATATATAGATACACACATTTTTATTTTTTATAGTTGATACTGGTGCTGCTGGTGATCATCGACAAGTACAGGCAACTGGTGGTGGTGTGCACCAACAGCAACCATCAACAAGTACTACATCTCTTGATGTATGATTACATATTATTATGTTACATACATATATACATAAAATACATATATTATTTTTACATATAATCATACACGCATTTGTAATAAAATATCTATTACAAATATATTACGAATATATATTGCATTCTGAATTTATTTAGTTAAAAAATTTTTTTTTCAGATGTCTGAGCTTGCTTTGACAGATCCATTCCACAAAGAAAAGACTGAAAAGGCAAAAATGTCATCTGCACAATTGAAAGCATATCATGACATGATACCAAAGAGAAAAAATCCTCTATGTGGTGGGAAAATAGGGAACAACATTTCTGTGTTTACGAATATGTACCAAATTATATTCAGCGATAAGTTTGTAACCAATGCAGTTCATTATGATATTAATATTCGTCCTTTCGATGAAAAGCCCAGCAAAACAGAAACCAAGAAAGAAACCAGACTTCCTAAGATTTTATGTAGAAATATTTTTGAACAATGTAGAAATAAACATTTTGGCATGAGATTTCCAGCTTATGATGGGAACAAAAATGCATATAGCGCAAATGAGCTTCCTTTCCCTGATAATGTAAGTAATATACATGTTAATTGTAACACAATTTATCACATATGGAACAAGTTTTATAATATTGTTTGATTCAAATATTTTTCGAACGAATCAAAGAGAAAAGTTTTTTTATAACAATTTAATTTTTTTCATTCTATATAGATGCAGGATGTTTTCTGGTTCGTAAATGATAGGGGACAAAGGAAACAATATGAAATTATCATGAGGAAAGTGGCTTATATTGATCTTAGCTGGATAAAAAATTTGAGACCTGGTCTTGCAGGAAATAGAGACCGAACCGCTTTACAAGTCTTAGATGTAATCATGCGTCATGCACCAGAATCGAGATTTATTAATGTAAGTGATTAATAGAAAGATGATATTTAGCCCCTCTTAATGTTTCCATTATTAGGTTGCGAATTCTAGTAATTACTTATGGAATCGTTTGTTTAGAAGCTGCTGTTATGCAGTGGTGGTAAGATTCTAATAGCTGTCATTTATTATAACGCATTTTTACATTTAAACGTTACGAAACGATTTTAAGGTACAGTTCAGTATTTAATTGCACATACATCCTCGTTACTTTTTAATACTTAAATACTTGATAAAGCGTATTATCATACATATGTAAGTATATTTGAATATGTTATTATTTAGCATTTTTTTTTTCTATTTAACTGTATATGTTTCGAGTTATGCAAAGTTGAATAATAGCATGGTCTCGAAGTTATAAAGCGTGGACTGTACCATCCATATCTAAATATATAGATCAAATATAGTCAACAAGATTAAGAAAGAGGCAACATAAGGACAGTCAACTCCCTCTCTTTCTAAGATATAGTAATTGGTAAAAAGAAATATAGTATACTTTGAGTCTAGAATCAATTGAGCAGTACTTGGATCAATGTAATCATTAAATTTTAGGTTTAATATTGTTTGTTAATCAAGTTATTGCGTAATATCTTGCGTAAGTGAGGGGCCATAATACCATTTTCTTTTCTAGTAATGTTAAAATAATTAAAATTGGCTAGCACTATTAATAAGTTTTATTAAGTTTCATTAAGTTTAATTAAGTTTAATTATAAATAACATTGAATTTGTTTTAATAAATCGCATTTATTTAAAATTATTTAAATGAATTAATTTTTCGCATATTAATTTGAGAACAGAAACTAACTTTTTCAAAATATATATTTATTTATATACTTTATAAAATGTTATAATTTAATTAGAGGAAATTAATATTAATGTAGTATAAATATATATAAAATGCGTGATATAAATTATGTTTCTATAGGTTGGAAGATCACTCTACTGGAATATAGATAAGATCGAGCCACTAAGTGGTGGCTTAACGCTAGCCCACGGTGGATTTCTGTCTGGTGTACTTGGGTGGCAACCATATCTAAATGTAGATGGTAAGATATCCTTGTTGATCGATATAATTTTTTATTATTTCAATTATAAACAATATTTTTATAAAGCTCTTAATAATTTTTAAGCTGAAAACTACAATAAATATTTATCTATAATCTCTATATTTTACTTCTTATATTTTATTTAGTTGCTCATAAAGGATTTACCATGAATTTAAGAGTACTTGAATACATAGCTGATGTTACAAAAATTAAAGAAGAAAACCTTTCTTATAACGACGTAATGAGATATAGAAACAAGATAGTAGGTTTTTTAAAGGGTTTAAAAGTGACTTACGCAATACCTAACTCACCAATTTCGAAACGTACGTACCGTGTACTCGATTTATGGTCTGATAGTTGTGACTCGCATACGTTTACATCATCCGATGTAACTTACACAATAACAAAATATTTTCGGGACATAAAGAGATATAACATAAGGAGGACTGACTTGCCTACTCTTCATGTGGGCAAGACTTCTAACGGAGGCAAAGTCTTGGTGCCTCTCGAAGTGCGTAAGCTGTTTTATATTTGCTACAAGTAAGTGATATTGTAAAATAAATTAAAAATCTCTATGAACACTTATAGTTATGCACCATTGTGGGTGGTCAAGCCGTTAATAAAAAACTAGATGAACAGCAAACCACAAATATGATTCGAAAAGCAGCAACGGCTGCGCCTATCCGTAAACGGAACATAGAAGCAGCGGTAAAAGACATTTACATTATTAGATTGAACATATTATATCGTTATGTTTATTGTGTTATATGTTTGTAGTTCAGGACACTGGAAATAAACCGTAGTTCTGTCATGGAAAGAGAGTTCAATCTGTCTGTGAGTACAGAAATGCAAAAAGTTGATGCCAGAGTTTTGCCTTCTCCTGGATTGAGATATGCTAACTCAACCATGACAGTAGAAAGAGGAGTATGGCGTTTGCAACGGTTTAATCAAGCCAAAAGTTTGGGATCTAACTCATGGACTATTCTTATTTTAGCTAATAGAATAAGTGATGATGAAATACAATTATTTGTTAAAGAATTACAAAACAATGGTTAAGTATATGAAAAATAAGGTTATAATTTTAAAATGTATTCTGTATTATATATACATATACAGGGTATCCCGACCTTTTTTGCCAATCACTTCTGTGTAGATAGAGCGGACTAAACTGAGTCGAAAAGTCCTCTACCATTTTACAATTTTCGCAATAGTTAA